CAAGCCGTTCGTCGCGAATAGAATGAGACGGATACAAAGTCTAGTGAATCATGCCCACTTCAACTACGTTAGGAGCCTAGAGAATCCCGCCGACATAATATCACGGGGATACGACATAGCAGACCTCAAAGCGCGGGAGCTATGGTTCTCAGGACCTACGTGGTTGACGCTACAAGATCATGAGCTCCAGCACAAAATACGGAGCGAAAACGCATCACTGTCTCCGAAAAACAATGGCACAGACGACGAATGCCGACCGAACATCGCGGTGTGCATGTCGCTGAAATCGGACCACTCCGAGAAGAATCCAATGATATTTTTCGAGAACTCTTCTTCGACTTGGCCACGAGCAATCCGTTTTTGGAGCCTCATGCTCAGACTCAAAGAAAAAGCAAGGCCGGCTAGAGAACGGGTAAAAAGAAAAAATACGGCAATACCCCAGAAGAAAAAATTCAATGAGATAGACCCTGAAGAAATGATCACAGCGAGAATCAGTCTCATTAAATCAATCCAGGCGACATACTTCAAGGAAGAATTGCGCACGCGGTGCAAAAACCTGAAAAAGTCGAGCGTCCTTTACAAATATTCTCCTAGAATAAATAATCAGGATCTGACTACGAGCAAAACAAGACTCGTCGCGGCGACCGACCTCACTTCAGAACAGGTCGAACCAATCATCCTCCCATACAACTGCGAACTATCGTTCCTCATACTCAGGGATATTCACGAAAACGATTGTCTACATACGGGAGGAGTGAATGCTATCTTGCACAGCCTCCGGAAAAACTTCCTCATGATACACGCTCGGCGAGCAGCCAGAAGAACAATACAGAATTGCCAAGTATGCAAAATCTTCCTCGGCAAGGCCGCACAATTACCGACAGCGGACCTACCGAGATTTCGCATAGAAAGATCACCTCCGTTCTTCCACACAGGCTGTGACTTCTGCGGGCCGGTGAGATACAGGAAAGAATCCGGAGAGATGGCAAAGGGATACATATTACTGCTAACTTGCGCGGTTACGAGAGCAGTCTGTCTTCAACTGACCACCAATCTCTCAACCGCAGAAGTACTCGGAGCCCTCCAAAAGTTCGTCAACAGATACCCCAACGTCAAACACATAATCAGCGACAACGGTGCATCGTTTGTGCGAGCAGCCAAGAAGCTTAAACTCCAATGCGAACACATAAAGGACGGAGAGGTCAAGAGATGGTTGGGAGAATCATTCATCGAGTGGACATTCACACCACCAGCGAGCCCTTGGTTCGGGGGTTTCTTCGAGAGACAAGTACAGACGGTGAAAAGACCTCTCAGAAAGATCCTCGGGACGAACATCCCTCATTTCCGAGACCTGGAAGTAATACTCTCGGGGATAGAAGCTATGGTCAATCGCAGACCGATTACCACGGTTGCCACGGGCACAGACTCAGAGGCACTGAGCCCATCCGATCTTCTACATGGTTACAAGAGTACGACGGTATTTCCCCAACACTCTCTCAAACCGCTGAGAGCGGAAGATACAGACAAAATAATCTTCTCCAGACGCTGGGCATACCAACAAAAAATCTTGAACTCCTATTGGAAAAGATTCCAGCAAGAATACCTGCAGTATCTCCGAACGGCCCACAACCGTTTTCCAATCGAGTCACGACCCCTGAAAATAGGAGATATCTGCCTCGTGGAGGATACAATCAACAATCGAGCAATGTGGCCGCTCTGTCGAGTCATAGCTTTCCCGGAAAACACCACACCGGAGAACGCATGTTCCTGCACCATGAAGACCGCTAAAGGACAAACTTTCGTCAGACCCATCAAGAAATTATACCCTATTGTATCCCAACCCTGGAGCTAGACAAATGACGATCAGAATAGAGAAAGTAAAGTCCGAGGCAAGGTTTATTCCTGGGGTTCAATCCGGGAGGAGATCCGCTCTCGGATCTCCTCGTAAGACGGAACCGAGGCGCCGGGGTCTAGCGCCTGGAGCCGCCGGTACCCGCGGTGACACCGACGGGCGAGAGCTTCCACGCAGCCCTGCACGGTGGGGGCCGGCTCCGGGAGCGGCATCTCCCCCCCCCGTGGAGTTCCGGCAGGGACGGTCATGGCCCGGGGCCATTTGTTCGCCGCGAGGCGCAACAGGTACATATAGTCCCCGGCGTGCCACGCGGAGGGGACGATGTATCTACATAAAAATCAAAATTGAGTCAACGCAACAAAGAGTTAAGTCTAAAGACCACATGGTGGTAGGAGAAAAGTGCAAGACCTGAGTATCACTTACTGAAGCACCCGAGGCGCGGGAGGTACGTTGAGTGAGCCGGGCGGGCGACCCGGTACAAACGCGTGAAGCCGCCCGAAAGGGGGCCCGCTCTTCCTCCGTGAGGCCAAGCCAGGCGAGTTTGACCAAAGCAGTGGCATCACAACGGAGCCACTCTCGGAGCTCCGGCTCGATCTCTTCAAGAGCCTCCAAGTAGAGGCCCATGGGGGATGTATTCCAATCGCGCAAAGATGTGTTCATCACGAGGGTTGAGAATGTGCTCGAGGCAGAGACAGGAGCAGAAGTGGAAGAACGCGCGCTGGAGATCGCCTCTCGGAGTGCAAAAGGAGGAGAGGGCATAATTTGAAAAACGGCGCCAATATGACCCATCGGCAACGTGAGCTCGGAATGCCGGCTGGGCCTGCATTCCAGGGGGGGAGTGTGACGAACAGTCCCTCTGGGACTAGTTGCGCAAAACCTACACAACATGTACAGACGTTCACGGCCTCCGGATTGATATGCTAACCGACATATTCAACAGGTTTCTCTATACGCAAGATCGCTGCCACGGGCACAACCATTATCATCTCCAATATTATCAGTGTACCATTTTCATAATCTATCATTATTTCCATCTAATAAAGTTAATCAGAGAGCAAGCACTCGCAAGGAAAAGCGACAGCCGAATGACAGAGTTGGCGCATGCGCAGGAAAACCATTCGATTCAATCCGGAGGGACATTGTGCCGCCGCCACTGGCAAGTTCTCACCTTCGCTGGCGCGGTCACGGTCTCGATCAATAACCATCTATGGCAAGCCGTATCGATGCAAGACAATCAGTTAAAACCTCACGGAGGCATCCATCTTGTCTTGCCACACCATGCAATTGAGATTCTCGATGAACCGACCACGATCAACCGTGTCCGGTTTCATTCAATAATCAAAAGTCAGGGATTCACGTATCCCATCCCTCAAGCGTAGATTCGTCATCGAGTCGAAAATCAAGTGCGCCTTGCTCTCGGAGTATTTTCCTTATCGCTAACTCAGTGCCTTCATTGGATAGGAAAAATCCCAGAAGCATAGGCCACAGGCCTCATCCTTCCACTCACACACCTCCTCAGTTCTCCGGCCAAGTCTCTACGGAATTTCATTTCCGCATCGGACATCTCCTCCCGCATCGGAGTAATTTCATCTCTTAGCTTTCCAAGCGTATGTTCCACGTCGATGACTCCCAGAACGACGAGATTGATCGAAGGCTTCTTCGTAGATTGCATCAGCAGCATGAGATCGAGGATGACCTGGAATCCACTGTCGTTGAAAAAATACTCAATCCGAATACATTGTAAGCTCCCGAATCATGGAGCGAGTCGAATGAAACCGGAGCCGATCTACGCGTCCGACAGCTACGTACACGGTAATGCTTGGCGATGATGCTGATCTGATTCACTTCCTCTGAGCTGAGTAAAAAGTCGTATGAATTCGTATGCATTAGCACCTCGTTGAGAACCTCATGGGAGTTCGACGCTGACTCGAATGGCTTGCAGACAGACGCCCAGCGTGTAGGGACGTCTGCCTCAAGTCCTTTTGGGTCGTATCCACGTGAGGGCTCGACAATTTCATTCTGGTCAACGAATCTCAGGTCCGAGCGCTCAAACTACGGGAGAAACACGAGACTGAGATCAGGGTATGCGATAATTGACCATGTTTCAATGGCTGATATTATCTAGAGACATGAAAACAGGGATGACTCAAGGTTTCGATCTCATCAGCCTTCCTCAATTCTTCGAGGTATAACTCTTGAGCCCTCTCCTTCGCGAGGCGTCTGATGAGGTTCTTCTTCAAAATCAGGTGACGATATACTCTCATGAGTTTAGCCCGCAATTCGAGCACTCGAGAACCAATAGGGGTCTTATAGAAATCTGCTGTCAATGCCCTGTGCACACGATGATCTGCGCAGCGGATATGTACACGATCCTTGAACGCTCGTACCATGTTGCTCGCTGAATCTGAGACGACGGCTAACATGCTTTCCTCACTCAACTTGAAATCTTTGAGTGTACAGACGATTTCCTCTAGAATAGCTGATCCCGTATGAGGTCCGGGGAAGTGATCCGTTTTCAACGGTATGCAGGTCAAATTGAAGGCATCATCGAGGTAATGAAGGACGAAAGTTATGTATGGTAGTTGCCGGTATCTGTCCGTCCAAGTATCGGTCGCGACGCGACGTGGAATCGTATGTTTTTTGGCACTCTTCCAATGATGATCTCTTTCAAAAGATTGAAAGCGTCGCACAGGGCTCCCCGAGAAATGGTCGTACGCACAGGAATTTCGGACTCGTCGGCGACGATCTTCCTACGAACGAAAAAACGTCGAGGCCCTGCTCCCTCGACGAATGAGAAGGGGAGTACATCCTCGCTGATCCATAGGGCGAAGTCTCGAGCGAGATAGAACTTATTTCGCTTCCGGGACTCAGCGGATGTCTGATTCGGATTGGCACTCGATACGGACTTCTCCCACGAGCTCAGGAGCGTATTCATTCCCCGCCCCGTCGAGATTTCCTCTGGATGCTGCCGCTTGATGTGATTTAGTAGTGTCTCAGTCGCCGTGTTGCTTCCGTGGCCACATGCGATCTTCTTCTGCTGCAAACGGAGGTTGCAAAAGACTTTCTGTGGCTCAGCATCGCTTCCAGATGTATAATAAGAACGGTTGGGGACTTGGCTTGGATAACAGCTAGCTCAGGGAAAATCGTATATTGGGTGAAACGGTCACAGTTTATTCTTCCTCCACGAATCTTGGCACTCGATCGGTCGCCTCGACCGCTCTCGTGCGTACACTTCGTTCGCTTCTCACAGACTGACTTGGCCGACACTTGCCCCCCCTCGGATGTTCTGAGCGTACAGACGCGCGCGACGTTCAACGTGCTGCCGCGACATCCCCGGTTCATTACATTCGGCCCTCGCTGCCGATCTGATCTCCTGAACAGTCAGCAGTCTGACTACCGGAATTTCTAGCCCGTTTAGCTTCTCACATTCGGATCGTCGGGAAGCTCCAGAACAACGGTCGAACCCCTACCTCGGTGGTCGAGCTTCTATGCTAGCGGACTCGTAGCCCCTACCTAACATTTCTCACTGACACGGTGCCACACTGTGTTTAAAGTAGTTGGAACCCCTAGACGTCACACCGATGTTCGGCGTGTAATAGATCCCCACGAGGATCGGCGATGAATGGCGATGAATGGCGATGAATGGCGATGAATGGCGATGAATGGTGATGAATGGCGATGAATCGCGATGAATGGCGATTAATGGCGATGAATGGTGACGAATGATGATGGAGATGAAAATGGAGACGGGGATGAGGATGAGGGATGAAGATGATGGACGGACAATGACGATGATGGATGATTTCCCCTTTTTTTTTTCTAAGGCCACTGTGCCCGCTCGTCCTTCTTCCCGGCTGCTCGGGGAGCCTCCTCGGCGCCGAGCTCGATCTCGTAGTCCGTTGCCCGCCTCGGCCGGACACGCTCTACCCGAACCCGAGGCCGGGGCGGGACGGGGATCTCCTCGTTGTTTCGCCCGATAATCGTATCGAGCTCATACTCGAGACGACCCCCGGCATCGACGTAGTCCCCCCAGCCGTTGAGGTACACAGGCCGGTACTGCGTATTCACTTTTTGGGGGTTCTCAAGACACAGAAGATATTAGCAGCAGCACCAGAGCATCAGAATATGCCTAGTGCCCAGTAATCTTTATTGAAGCGGAGCACGTTTATATACGAGTACTGAAGAACAGGAAAGGGAACCAAGACTGCGTAGGAGTCTAGCTAAGCGTACTGACAACGAGCACGGGAAAGAAAGATTTCAACTGCCCCCGTTCACGTGATCGTGGTCCTGAATATCCTATGAGCCAGTCTCAGTTATAGACATCACAATAAACTGCTGGGATACATGATCGACCGAATCTTTTGAACAGAGTAATACAATCTCGATGAATTCCACTCTGGAAGCTATCAGACAATTTACCTATGTTACCGATGTCAGGTATTAGTCTCAGATGTCACAGATAGATCGAGATGGTCCGATCTTCGAGTTTCGTTGTTTCGGAGTAATGATATACATCGATGTTCTGAAGATGTAGAAATATGAACCTCGAGATAATGTTCTCATGCCAGGAAAGGGTCTTTCCGTCCTAATCGTATAAGTGGCTACGTTCGGACTCATGAGTAGACAATCATGCTTTACGAGAATTACTCTCGCGCCGAGATGGAGATGTCCACCGTTGATGAACCTTCTAACGATGTTCATCCGTTTATCCCACCACGGGATAGTCGGCTGTGTTCTTCTCGTCCGAAATCACTCAATTGTTGGTTGCTTCTTGGTTTGATTCTTGCCTCAATTTTCCTCATCTTCACAATCGCTGTCACCTCCATCGCATTTTCATAGGTTTCAACAGTCGGTAAGTTTTCTGGTTACCGGTGATTTCTCTTTAGGTTGCCGAGCTTTAGTGACTCTTTCTTTGATTGTCATCCAGAACAGTCCCTGAGTGCCACCGAGCGCATCGCTGATCGGCTGAACATCAGTCAGCCGCTTTTCAATTCGTCGCT